GCTCAAGAGGCGGCGAGAAAAGATATTGAACGAGCCTTTGGGGTCTTGAAGGCTAAGTGGCACATTCTAGATCGTCCGTCGAAATGTTATTCTCAGACAAAAATGAGGAATATCATGTACGCATGTATTATTCTTCATAATATGATCATAGAGGATAACGGGTCTGCGATTTGTCAATACAACCCGGACGACGAGGTGCCTATGTACGAAGAAATCACCGAAGAAAAGAAACGACGCAACCGCCAAGAAATTCGAAGCCGAGAGATTCACAATGCACTAACGGTGGATTTGATTGAGCATATCTTTAGTCGTTCGAATAATTAGTGATTTCTTTGTACTGTTGTTTTTTTTATGTAATTTTTTTTAATGAATATAATTTTTTTTAATGTTTTTTTATGAATGTAAGATTTTTTATTAATGAATTTAATTTTTTTATGCAATAGTGTCATTGCGATTAAATAAAATAATAAATTAATTTAAAATTATAAATTTAAATTTAGAAGATGTATATTTAAAAATGTAAAAAATGAAGGTTTGAAGCCCCAGGGCTTCAAAACCATTTCCAGTGAATTTTGGGTGTAAGTTAAAGCTGACGTGGCAGAGAGAGAAAGTTTGAAGCCCCGGTTTGAAGCCCCGGGGCTTCATGACCATTACCAGTGCTCTTGTAACTTATAATTATAAGTACTCCGGGTATCAAATATCAATAGTGGTAATGACACTTATGCCACTTTAAAATGTTAAAATAGCTTGGGACGTTTATAATTGTCAAAAAAATTAATGACACTTGATGTGTCATATTTCTTCCCTTTCTTAAAACCGTTTCTCTATCATTTTTTTGTTTTCCTTAAAATATTTCCACTTTCTATTAAAAAATCACTTCTACCCTTAATTTTTATCCTACCTATCACATCATGTTTTTTCACCAATAATCTATCCATCACATGTTATTTTTATCCATCACATCAATGACGAAATTAGAAAGTCAACTTCAAATAATCCCTCTTTATTTTTGCTCAAAGTCAAAACAGTAATTATTTATCAAAATGAAGGGAGTACATAAATTTGACATAGCAAACGATGACACTTTTTAGAGGTGTCATTGTACTGTATATTTTTATGATAATTTCAAATGTAATAAGCGACTTAAAAAAGTGACATTGCTAGTCTTTTCTTGCAGTGATATTTTTTTTTTTCAAAATATTAAAACAATTAAGACACTGGATGACTACACTTTTGAAACGTCAAAATTGAATTTTACAACGCTGGACTTTTGGCCGAGACCAAAGACTCCACTCCAGCTAGTCATGCGCTTTTCCCCGTTTTATACACAACTTTTTCCCCCGTAATAGTGCCGTGCTTGACCGGAGAGCAGCCCAATTCAATAATTCTTCCTAAAATGGCGTTTCTTGCCTCTCACTTGTGGAATCAAATGGTTCAAATCTATTTAAAGTAGGCAAATTTTGAACTCCTCTCCGGTCTTGAGCCGTGAGAAGCTCATTCTCCAGGATTCATTAAAAAATTTATTCAGGTTCGAGCCCCAGTAGAGACGAAAGTGTTGGGAATTAAACACACAACACACACAAATAATCCGCAAGAAACGAGAGAAACGGAACACAAACGACACACAAG